AACGAGTTCACCGCAACGCGTTTGATGGCACCATGCCAAACCACGCTTTAATCGAGATGCTCCATTTGCGCCGCTGCTGGCAACGCAGCTCGTCCAAATCACAAGTAAACTAGTGGGCGGATCGCTTTTGGGGGCGGAGCGCTTTCGAAGTCCTGCTCAGCAACCAGCGCACCTTTCGTCGTGAAAGCGCCACATCTCGCTTCCCTGGCAGCCAAGTAACTGATTCGTGTGGTGCATATGCTTCCCCGATGCGCTCCCTCTTTATCGTAATCGCTTCCTTTAACAATGTACTATGAACGACTGCAGTTTGCAACTTCCATATAATATATTACTGTAGATAGAATTGGAAGTTAGAAGTGAAACTCGGACTTGGAAGGTCCAATACAGAAGTTTAAATTTTGTGAATACGCAGAATTATTGACACAATTCAACGGATCTGGGCACGAAAATCACGAAAGCCGAAAGTCCTGGTCATCAATCGATGTGTACTCTAGCCGTGTGAAATTCCCTTAATATTTCACGGTGATAAAAATCGCCTCTAGAAAAATCTAAAATTTTATAAAAGTTACTTCCTACTAATTATAATGAAGCTTGTTGATGAATATCGTGCTGTAGAAAACTTTTTCAAATGTCTTAAGAAAGGTATGTTAGGGTTTTAGCCAACATTATATGACATTGTCGCCAAAGGGTTAATATATGAGCTGGCACAAAATTTTTCAAACTGAAAATATCTAGAGATTTTCGATTAAGTTACCACGCTACCAAAAAATTTTACAGATAGTCAGGTGGTTTCACAGGGTTTCTAATGCCGTACTTAAACTCTCTTTCTATTTTCATTTTCTGTTTATCAGCGTTCTCTAAGCTAGCGAATTCCCGTTTCTATTGTAGATTTTATAGATGTGTTTCTCCTTTAACTTGCTGGTCATCTGTTTCCATAGATGAGATTTATATCATGAAATCAGAGGACCAGATAAAATCACAGCTACTACGAAGCTTCTTCGTTCCATGTCAGGCTTGCGTTAGCAGAGTTGCTACCCCTTACGAGCCAACAGTTTTGTTGCAGGTCCCGGACTCTGCAATATTTTGTACCATTTGATCTTACAAATTTTGTTTTGAGCTCACTACTGTGGCTTTTTCATCATTTCTTTTTATCTCCTAATCTACATATCTTGCGCAAGCCGTATTTGATGTCTGGGGTTCCGGACCGGGGAGGAGGCATATAGCAAATGCTTTGACACAAATCGCAGTCCCACGCTCGGCATTTGCTGTGGAGGGTACCGTATCCAGTAAGCTGCCACGCCTCCTAATCCACGTAGGTACCAAACCAGTCCTACCCGAAGAATTCTAGCCTATCTCTTCATGTCTCTCACATGTTTCTTCGCCCGAAGGCCATGATTTGAGAAATCCATTGGAGCCAGAGTCAAAAGCATTATAATTAATTATGTACATTCGAAATTTTTATTTTTATTCTGAATTTAAGCCGTATTCGGCGTTAACTTTTGCAACTTTTTTGATTAAGTGCTAAAGTATAGGCAAAGCAAGCCAAAAATGTCCGTGCGCCTTGCCCATTTACCGCGCGGTGAGCTTTTTCACGGTCACTTTAAGGCTTCCTCTATGCGTATGCATAAGTTTTCGTAAAGCGCTCACAGAATTGACTACGTATTGTATTTGATTCACTGACATTCTTTTCCTAATTTGATTCACCTCAATCTATTCGCTTTAGAAACTCAATAGCTGAATCATCTCGCGTATTTTAGATCTTCAACTTATTGCAGATATCCCTCCAACATCGGCAATCGAAATAGACAGAGAAAAATTTCAACTGCTAGCTGCTTTGCGAAACGGTAAGGTTTCTACTCATTCTCGAAATTATCTAGTTTTTCTGATGATTTCCGGACTTTATTTTTCTAGTCAGAATTTTTTGGATTTTTTATACTAGGTCCGTTCGGTTTTTATTTCTTCTCTTACAGGCACACTTTTAATGGCATTTTTCCATTGCCGATAATTATGGCTTTTATCACTTCCTTTTTAGTCTTTTATTGATCTTCAAAAGCAGACCATGTTCGACTTGAACCATGCGTCCTAGATGAATATTCTGTTGTCGATACTATGTTGCAGCCCCTGTAGCGATCATCGGCTAGTTCGACAAAATACAGATAATCCTGGCAGGGAAGTGAAAACATTATACAAGCTAGAGTTCCTAAGATTCAAAGACTGCAAAACATAAGCTGACTAAATAGAAAATGGCTGGGGCCAAATACCATACTTTAAGAAAAGTTTCTGTTTTCTGTGGCGAGGGGGACGCTCAGGTCCAGTAGGCGTCCCTGTAGGTGACGCTGTTTTCCAGGGACAATTTTGGCGAAAAAATTTGATCTCTGGAAGAGTGTCACCGAAACGCAATGGCGAATATCATGCTGTGAAGCGATTCTTGATAGAGAAAGATAGGATGTTTTGGTGGCGCGAGAAGTGCGGTGAAACGCCCCTCGACGAAATGTGCTTCTATTCTGAAGATGTCAGAAGGATGCATGGCGATTACTCATTTCAGCACGAGTGAGCTTAGGTCGGAGGGCTCGTTATATTGTCACCGAGTCTTGGTTAACCCTCATTAGTCCTGATCTACGCCCGAATGGCAACCTTTGCCTTTCCAACTATTTATACTCTTTATAGGTATCTTTATTCTGGAAAGATTGTCGACTTCGCTATACTGAGCGATGTAGCACTTCCACCAACACTCACACCGCCAGAGAAGATTGGGCTGATAATGAGCGATCTAAAAGCAAAAGTCAGCTGGATTCCACCAGTTAATCTACCATTCCAAGGTAACTCATTCAATTATAAACACCTTTTTATAGAAGTCAGCGTGACAGTGAGTAGGGGCAGGACTGCGAATTTGTGGTCCTGAGAAGGGCCACTCACATGATTGAAAGCGGAGAATAGTGGTAGAATAGTTTCTGTTGCTTCAATTTCTTACATTTCATTTTAGTGTTCGGAAATTCGTGGAGAAACATCTCTTACGAAGTTCGCCTTGTCTCGCCTGACACTCCCGACTCACCAGTGGCCGTCAAAATGAGCAACGAAACTTCCGTAGTAAGAAGACTATTTGATTTTTTTTGGATTTTTTGGACACACGCTAATATGAGTGCTTTGGTAGAGAGCTTGGAGATGAGCTTTCGGCTTGGATTGTCACTGCGTGAGATTTTTTTCCGAAAAAATTCAGTTGCAATTGATTACGGAGAAGTCTGATTTGGGTTCATTCTCAATCTCTGATGTTACATTCACTCCTTCTAGCTGAATTTTGATAGCTTATCTTTGATAATATTTTAGTGACGTTGCTATTAACTACATATGAACTATACATTAAGCTAGGAAAAGCAGCCAAATATGGTAAAAATACTCAACTTTGAGGCTTTTTTGAGCCTTCCAAGATTCTTTTGCATGAGTTTGTTTGTGAGTGAGAAATGCTGCTGAGGTTCTCAGTCAGTGTCAAACTCGCCTACTTCTTTGTTTTATTGCCAGATTTTCGCTTTATTCACATTAAAAGCAGTAGCGATTCAAAATTTGTGACCTCTTCAGGTGGTGCCCATAAGTCCAGGATCCGAGTACACGGCTTCGGTTCGCGTCTGCTGGAATACGGTTTGTTCTCCGTTCGTGAACGTCATCAACACAGCATTTGCCGTGCTGAAATGTTGGTACAACCTCTCTATTTTCTGGTTTTAATTTATCTCTTGGAAGTCTATGTTTTGAATGGGAAAAAATGTTATTTTTGAGACCCTCCAATAGCGTTCCTAAAGCGATCGAACGACGCCACCACAGCTTTCGATCTTCTCGGGGAAGAAATGCAAGCGGACGCCATCAGTGAGTTGTATTTGCTTTTTAGAATATTCTGCAAGTCTTGAATCACAATTCTCTCCAATCTATTTCTTTCTCACAATGACTGTGTAAACACATATCTACTAAATGGGAAACACTTCTTTCAGAGAGTGACCGACAATTCCGAGCCGCCCGTTGGGTTTCAACCCTCCACTCAGAATCTTACGAGCATTTGAATCTTGCCCTAAAAAGACCTATGGAGCCCAACAGGATTTTCATTGTGGACGCTGTACTCTAATAAGCACCGAATACATCTGACAGCGCAACAAGACGAAGCCTGCATAAACCTGCCATATGTAAGTCCGAGCAGGCCGTAATGAAGCATCTCTGTTTTTTTCTCTGGATTTGAGACTTTTGCCAGCGTATCCACCTGCTGGCCTTTTCGCAATACTACTTGAGTATAGGGTTTATTTATTATAATTATTTATATTTTTCGTGTGTTTACTGTTCAATCATCAATAGAAACTGCGCTTTTGATAAAGAAATCCAATGAAAGCTGTGCTATAGTGTGGCGAATTTTATTTTCATTCCGCTCCTCTCTCGCCAGCATGTAGGTGAATAAATTTATATCTCCTCGGACTCTAAGCATAGTTCTTTGTGTAGGACTACATAGATTGAGTAAATGTTGCATAGATGATAGCAGTGGCATTTCTATCTGACCCCGTATTTTTGCAGCATTGCTTGGTGAAATCCCTCATGACTCAGCCTTCTCACATAATCTTTCAGTGCTAAATTTATTCGTCGCAGAAGCTTTCATCAAGTAATTTGTTCTACAACCGTGGCTGAGTTGTGAGCACACACTCCAACGTGGGCGACTCTGGAACCAGCTTCTATGCTTTGCCGTGCTCTGTGACAATCCTTTACATTCTCGAACAGTGCTTAGGCATAAGTCTCAGCACAAAAGGTAAGGCACGCACCCGGTCTTGGTTATGGAGTTTGGTTAAGCACTGAGATAGCAGGGTAAACGGAGAGCAAATACAGGTGAAAATTCTGTATGAGCTGGAACCTTTTCCGAAAAATTCAGTACCTTTCCATATGATCCACTTTGCAAATTGAGCGATGTGGCATTCAATGAAACAGAAACAAGGGGAGACTGTAGTAACTGGGACGATTATAATTTTCCGTTCAATTCTGCATTCCTAAGTACTCATCATTTTTAGCCGGCGTTTTTCAACCGTGTTGTGACGGCATAATGGCATTCGATAATACCACAAAAACCCTCTACAGTTTGGATGCCAACGAGGTATCGCGCCATGACTTCTCTGCAATTCTTCATTCTCAGTGTTGAAATTTCAGAGATGAGTCGATTTTACCCACCGTGTCTCAGAGCCAGCCGATGTGTTTCCGTTCACCAGTTTTCTGTCCGTGAATTTTCTCACTGTGCTGGCAAGCAGAGCAAGTCTTGTGTTGGCCACCTCATATCAAATTATCAGCTACCGTCCTCACTGGAACTGTCGAACACGTGTGAGCAGTTCAATCCCATACCCCGCTCTCAACCACCACCAGAGGAACCTGTGCATTATAGGATTTTCTCCTGCTCGCCACCATTGGAAGAGTGCTCGGAGATCATTGGTTTGTCGTCGGACGATATCAGTGGAGAAATTCATTTTCTTGCTCAGGTACTGTACTAAGTATTCCGTGCTGTTTCCTCATATTCTAAGTTTTTTGGATAAATTTTTTGCTTTAGTTCCCGAACGGAACAAGTGCCCTTTATGAGCTGAATCAAGAAGACCGAACGCCACGACCACTGGCCACTTCTAGTGATTTGCCTCAGTAAGTTCAACTTAATTGTCAGATGCGGCAAGACATCTTCACTGTCTTCATCTCCGAGCGATGAGGCAAGTACGTGGCGCAATCTAGAGCGAGTGTTGAAGCCCACCTCCTGTAGAATGTTCATGCATGAGTCGGGTTTTTGTATGGCGCACACCAAATGTTTTTCGATCCGAACCAACTGCATGGGTAAATGCACCTTGTTCCATACTTGAAAGCATTGTCTGTAGATCTCGAGTGACTGAGTTAACATTGTATTCAAGTTTTAAGGCTTAATATATGAATCGAGCTAGCAACACAAAAAACGGCGTATCGCGTTTTTTTTCCGGGTGAATGTTTGAGATTTTACTGGCAGCCCGCAAATACAATGTATCTCTCCCCTCCTGTCCATACAAAATTGTGAAATCAGGGCTGGCTTTATCATTATATCAGAGCTTTTGATCCCCAGGCCACGCCTGCAGTAGCGGCACCATAAATTATTTATTTCTCCATTCAATAGCTCATAAAGCAGGTTTGTGCTGGGTTGGGCGCGCAGTTAATCTAGGTACTGAGTTCGTTAGAAAAAAGGCGATTTGCCCAAAATCTCGCTGCCTGTTGCTGGCAGCTGTTGTTTGTCATATCGGCAAAGCTTTTCCAGCAATGAAGTGCTCAAATCGACTTTACCTTGCGGTCATTTTATTACTGCCCACAAATGTATAAAGCGACGTAACAAGCCTTGCCGCTGTAGTCCGAGTGGTCTACGGAAAGCTCTTCTATGCTAAGGTTTTGCTACCAGCAACATGGATTTCTGGGTCTTATTTGTAGAATTCGTCCAACTATTGGTATCGAACGAGAAGGTGATCTTTGTGACTCAGCGAGGGCGAGTCGGTCAATGCGACAAGAAGCTCGGCTCCCTTAACGTCAACTACGCGCTCGTAGACGTCAACACCGTGGTTCCAGTGAACCCCACCGATGTGTCCAATCGAGTGGAAATCCAAGGTACACATTTCTGAAAGATTTTCAAAGTCAGCCGCATCATTTTAGCAGTTAGGGGTTTTGACTGTTTTACTGTCTTCTAGCGCCCTACAAAGATTTATCCTTCATTTTCTTGAGTACTTTTTTTCAGCGGAAAGCGTGGTGATGGGAGAATCGAAAAAGGATGAACTCTCGTGGGTTGTCGATCCTCGACAGGAGCCTGGCAATGTACTCTACAAGGTACTTCCCCTCGCCGTTTATGCCTTTCTCATCTCTTCTATTCTGCTGTCCCCAGCCAGCATTTGTTCGGTCTTTGGTCCCAACAGAACTTAGTCATGAAGTTCTAGCACATACTTCGCCTGTCCTTACCTCTTGCTATCTGCAAAATTCAATTTCTATTGGTTGGAGTTTCAGATTTCCCTCTATAGAGAAAAACTGTTTGTTGGAGATGCTCACACGGCTGTTACCACTCTTACAAAGATGACACTGCCATCGGAATTGCTCCAGTCATGGTCATCAGCTCAGCGTTTCGATGTCAGCATTGCCGGTTCGCTTCCCTTTCGCTTTTCTGACCATTTGAATAAATTGATATAGAGTAGTGCTGCTGGTGGCGAGAATTCGATGGTATCTTCGTGTTGCGCAGAGTTGGGGTATAGCAATATGGGGAACACTCCACATTTGAGGGAGTTGAATCGGCTCAGAACCACTACACTTCCCATTCCCAATAAGGATGGGAGTTTGTAGCAGCAGAGTTCTTGGAGACAGATCCAGTCTCTGAAGTCAATCCATAGGCCGTATCTGCATATGGAGGGTGGCATGATTGTACTTCCCCTCTACCACACGAAAGTTCATGTTCTGCATAAGCAAAAGGAATGTAAGACATAAGCCTATACCGAACTATTAATAATAGATAAATGATTTAAATAAAGTGAACTGGTGCGTGGAATATTCATCACGTACTACTCATAACAATATCAGCGGGTGGCCCGATATCGCTCATGGTATGTAGAGCTGTTCGAAGATAATAGGAGAGTGGTAGGAAGCCATTCTGGCACTCTACTAGCCTCATGAAGCAGCTACCCGCGAATCTTCCACAAAGGCAGAGTGCGAGGTGAAACTGAATTGCTATTGCGCTGCTAGGTGATGGTGGGAATGTGAAGTGTGGTTCCAGTAATAAAGAAGCGGGAAGGCATCGTCAAAAAGGACGAGTGTAAAACAGCTCTCCAGATAGTGTGAAGCGTAGTAGTTTGGGGGTGTGGTGGGCGTATTAGTTGGGGGGGGGGGTGGGATATACGGTAAATCTAGAGCCATAGCGCCGCATACTTATTAAGTCGCGCTCTGCGCTTGCGATATTTTGATATACTGTGATATTTTTCGCATAACAACTTCAGTTCGTCCGAAAATCCCGAACTTTTGCTCTGAGTGCGCACATCTTCTAAGGTGTCGCAGGGAATACTGTATTCTCTTATTGCCGATGTGAATTGGCCCTCTTCAATGTTTTTGTTAATTTATTAGTCTCATAAGTAGTGTCGCTTTTTTTCAAACAAAAAGTTTTCTCGTAAATCCTTAGGCTTTCACACCATATTATATACCATTCGAAAGAGAATTGTCTGCTCTACAAGATGCTATGTTCCTCTTCCACCTCTGTTCCAGGTTTTCAAATTTTAGGCTGCGAAATGGGAGGTCCAGCCGACAAAAATTGACCAAACCGACAACTAGCTCTAACTTTATTTTCCCTGGGGAGAAATCAATCAATGATGTACCCTCTACTTACTCATGACCTCTTCTAACATTCCACTCTTAGGTTGCCGAAAAAGCTTTGCCGTGTTTCTTTTCGAATTGGCTGACCGATAAGCCATAGCAATTTTCAAATTAAAATTGTTCCTCGTAAACGCCATTGTTTCATATCGAGTGGTGTTCCTTTTGTGAGCACTTCTTCTGCTCTATCGCTCATTTGTTTTGTTTCTTATGTTTGTTGGGAATTAGTTCGAATTTTAGGTGTTTAGGAATAAGGTGCTTTATCCGCGAAAGTGACCGCATTTCTTTGAAAAAATTATCCCTGAGAAGATGAGAAAATCAACCAGGCGTACATTCCTAACTTAGTCATGACTTGTTCTTTGAAATTCTACTAGTTTTTCAATGTCTCGGCTATAAAAAAAATTTTGACCTAGATCTCAGCTAATGGTGCTCGACCGTCGAGTTCTGGTTGAAAAACCAGGTCTGGAAAAGGAGCGACGCGACTTCTTAGGGAACCTAATAGTGTAATGTTAAGAAGAGGTCATGTGTAAGTAGAGGGTACATCATTGATTGATTTCTCCCAAGGGAAGATAAAGTTAGAGATAGTTGTCGGTTTGGTCAATTTTTGTCGGCTGGACCTCCCATTTCGCAGGCTAAAATTTGAAAACTGTGGAACATAGGTAAAAGGGAAACATAACATCTTGTAGAGCAGACAATTCTCTTTCGAATGGTATATAACACGATGTAAAAGCATCAGGATTCAGGTGAAATTTTTTTGGTTTAAAAAAAGCGACACTACTTATGAGACAACCTAATACTATATTACCAATGTAAATCATTTCGAATCAAAGACCATTTACAAACAAGTAGCTCATAATCGCTCCTGCTCCTCTTCTTCTTCTATATAGCGTAGTAGTAGTAATAATGTTACGGTATGCTACATAAAAAACAATTTTTTTAGGAATCACTACATGGATGTCGTTCAATACAAGCAAGATTGGACTGCAGGCTCCATTGAAACCTCCCACAGCTCCAACAAATGTACGACTCTATGCCACACAACAGGTTTGTGCTCCTCAAGAAAATTGCATATTTCAAAATGAGACATAGGCACGAAGGGATTTTAGGACATTCAGCTGTCATTAAGACCAATGTTTTGAGGTAAAGGTGTTAGACTGGTCGCTTTGATAACTTTAATAGGATACGCCACGTATTTGACTTTCCATTTCACATAGTGGGTGCGAAAGGGCTGCTTGGGTATATATGTATCTGCTCTACGAATCTGTGGGGTCGGTCGATGTTCAGAGCCAAATGTCTTGCAACAATCATCCGGCTTCCAAATTTGGCGAAGATATGTTCGTCTCTTCAATTGTGGCCTAATGAACCTGGCCATGCTCAATCCCTTTCCAGATTCTATCATAGAATATAGCCGTAGAAGGGTGTGGATTTGAATGAAGAGGATGAAGCTCAAACCAATCATATGGAAGGAAAAAATGAAGGGCAAGCCTCTGTAATTTCATTTTTGATTTAAGACCTCGCCTAGCAACAGTAGACAGATCAAACAATCTGGTTGTGGAATAAGGCCTCATAACGGATTAATTAATCAATTAATTAGTTAGTCACCTACCTCAATAATATTATACTTTCCAAGAGAGGTCTGGGCTTTCCTTTACAATGTCTTCCAATCGCTCTGCTTCTGAGATTCTTCAGTGGCTCATTTTCAGAAAACCGTCGATGGTGCTCGAGCGATTATTTCGCTTTTCTGGTCACCTCCACTTCAGTGGAATGCCACACCTTTTCAGTATATAATCAACTGCACGAAGGTGGGCTTGGTTTATCACTAGCTCATAACTCTACCACTGTAGCCGAGCCAATTTTTTGCAGGATGACGGTACTACGCAAGGAGGCCCTGTGGGAAGCACCATTACCCATATCTCCTTTGAAGTGAAGAGTGGCAAGGTGAGGCTTGAAGATACTATAATTTTCCATGGAGCTCCCGAATTTTTCTATTTCCTTTTCATCTTAAGGTCGAATGTTCCGTGGCAGCCGCTAACGAACCGAACAACATTGGCGAATTCACTCCGAAAATCTCGATAGACAGTAGCGGTAAGCGAGTATAAATGCGTGAAATCGCAGTATGACATGTGCCTTTGCTTACCAGCTCTTCTTCAGAACTAAAGCCTTTGGTGCGACTGTTCGCAATAGATTCCACCAATGCTCTCATTGCCATCACTAATGTTACCCAGGACGAGCCGGTGTCGAAACGAGAGAAGCGTCAGATCTCACACGTGAACCGGGTAATAAGTATTTATCACAGTATAGAATCGAATCTCTCCTCCATCCTCAAACAGTGGCATATAGTATGTGTTTGAACCACACAGTTTCATCGGACATTACTTTTCTACAAGTCTGTTCCCTGAGAAGTGTTCTCGACAAGAATGAAAACTTTTGTCCGAGTTATATCCCAACTACCAATTTACTCCTTCGTCTACCGAAACTTCGGCACTTACCGTTACCTGCTTACCGTGTGCACCCGTCAACTCGATCCCATTCATCACTTGAGGTCCTCGGTTATCACCGCCCGATTCCCTACCTCTACACTATCACCATTACTCTACGACTTTAACAA